AGATAGGAGACAGATGATTGTAATGCCCTTCAAATTTATCTAGTTAAAATAAGTGCTTGGAGCATCAAGTGGCAAACGGAATTCAATATAAATAAATGTCATGTTATGTAATGTAGAATCAAGAGAAATTAGACCACACACAACTTACAAATTATGTGGGAAGGAATTACAGACCTCTAATAAAGAACGAGACCTAGGGGTGGTTTTGGATAATAAGCTGTCACCAGAGGAACACAAAGAACATTGTGAGAGGAGCGTATGGGTCACTTTCCAACTTCAGACTTGCTTTAAATTATATGAATTGTGAAATACTAAAGAGACTCTTCATGACTTTTGTGAGACCAAAATTGGAATATGCAGCAGTTGTATGGCAGTTGATTGCATGTGAAGCAATCACATGCAAATATATAACAATAAACAGCTGCAGAAATATAAAATGATATAAACCTTGTGTTGAACACAGAGAGAGCTGCTTGTGATCTGGTTCACTGGGGAGGGGGAGCCACTTGTCAGGAATGAAACATACTATTTAATCTCTCCCAGAATAATACTTCCACGAGTAACTATGGTCTTATTGCTGGTTACCTGGCGAATGTGCTGTCAACCCCTCTAATGCCTCTATTGTGCTGTCAACCCCTTTCAGTATTATTATACAGTACAAAGTATTATAATTAAGGAAAATCATAGTGTCAAGATTCAGCCTCTTACACAACACACACACCTCTTGACACACACACGGAGGGTGTATGAGCTAGAGGAGGCAGAAGTCACACTGCAGCAAGCTCCTGGAAATATCGAATTACCTAAGTGTTGGGCACAGGTTGAGGGCTACAGTGGTGTCCCAGGTTACATAAAGGTTCAGGGAAGAGTAAAAGCAAATAAAATACAATAAACAAGTAAAAGTGAGTGAAAATAGCCGAGTGGAAAAGTTTGTTTTGGTCTAGAACAAAAACAAAGATGGCCGCCGCCACCACCCCCCACTGAGAATGTAGACACACCAACAGATGATGGTTTCAAAGGATTCTCACCACAAGATATAAGGAAAGGAGGTGTTCTTGGCAGGTTAGAGATAATTGAGGATATGCAAAAGAAGTATGAAGAAAAAGTGCTTAAATTGGAAGAGGACAATGGAGCTCTTTGGAGTGAGCTTTGCACTCTAAAAGGGAGTATGCTTCAACAAGGTAAGATTATTACTGCATTAACAGACAAGGTAACAAATCAGGAGGAGCAAATCAAGGAACTAGTGAAAGAAAATGAGGCATGGAAAGTGAAGTGTGGTGACTTTGAAGAAATAATTAAGAAAATAGACTCATATGGTGAACAACTCCAAGCAAGCCTAAGGGCTAACATAGAGTTAGGTAAGGATCTCCAACTGGAAACTTCACTGACAACTCACATAGAGGAGGTGAATAAAGAACTAGAAAAGTATAAAGAAGAAATAAAAGCGACATATGCTGAAGTTGTAAAAGAGAAAGAGACTATCAAAGAAGTGTGTTCGGAAGTCAAAACCAGAAATGACCAACAAGAAGCAGAAATTAGGCAAGCAATTAGGAAAGAACTGGTTACCAACAGTAAACTAGTACAAAACACTGCAGATAGAACTAAGTCCATAATCATTTTTGGATGTTTAGAGAAGGAAATTTCATCTAGGGTGGACCGAGCGGCAGAAGAGATGAAAATCATAGAGAAAATAGTAGGTTTAGGAGAAGGCTCAAAGGAAAATGTCAGTGATTTTAGAAGAATAGGAAAATATGAGAAAGAAAAGAACCGTCCCTTGAGGGTGACGTTTAATGGAGTGAAAAACATGATGGAAGTGCTAAGAAAATGCCAGGAAACTGCAGAGTGATGAGGTTGGCAAATTTTGGTCAATAAGACAAGACCTCTCCAAGGAAGACAGAGAAAAGCTGAAAATGAACCTAATTGAGGCAAAACGTCTAAATGGGGATAGAAATGAAGAAGACAGAAATTCTTTTTTTTACAAAGTGACAGGGACTGGAAAGCTTGTGAAATGGTACATAAAAACAAAGCAACAAGATCAGTAGTGGAAGGGGGAGTAAAGAGCAAAGGAAAAGGGAACATGTTCCTGAAAATTGTATATACCAACATAGATGGAGTGAGGTCAAAAACTTTGGAGTTGCAAGATATAATCCAGCTTAGGGTCCCAGATATTGTTGCATTATCAGAGACGAAACTTGAAGGAAATATAATAAATGAAGTCATTCCCAAGAGGCTACTCAGTTTGGAGACGTGACAGGAAAACTAGGAAGGGAGGAGGAGTGGCTGTACTGGTGAAAAAACACCTGAAGGTAAAAGAGTTAATATTTGAAAACCCTCGAGATATTGACATAATGGCATTGCAGGTCTGGAATCAGGATGATAAGCTGATAATTGTAAATACCTACAGCCCACCAGCAAGCAACACTTGGACAAAGGAAGAACTGGATGACAAACGAGAGGGCCTCATAATGGTCATGAGAGATGATATTGTACAAGCAGATAAAGATAAATCACGACTGTTGATACTGGGGGACTTTAACTTTAAAGCAATAGACTGGGAGGCCTATGAAGCAAGAAAGGAGGACTTTTGGACATGCAGACTTGTGAACCTCATTCTGGAGACATTCTTGTATCAACACATAAAGCAAGCCACAAGAATGAGGGAAGGAGATGTACCGTCAGTACTGGATCTAGTATTCACCAGGAAAGAAGAAGAGATTTTTGACATCCAGTACCTTCCTCCCTTGGGAAAGAGTGATCACGTCCTGTTAGACATTAAATACGCTTTAAGATATCATCTAGAAGAAAATGGGGACATTGAAACAGTTGATAAACTCGATTTAAGGAGAGGCAACTATGGGGAACTTCGAAATTTTTTTAATGAGTGTAATTGGACAGAATTGTTGCTAGGTAGGGAAGTAAATAAAATGTATGCCATATTTTTAAAACTATACGAGGAAGGCACACAAACATTCATACCAAAACAGAGATGCAGGGCCAGAAAACAGGATTGGTTCGACAGAAATTGTGAGAGGGCAAGAGACCAAAAGACACAAAAATGGAATCAGTATAGGAAGAGGCCAAACCCCCAAACATACCAGCGATACAAAGATGCGAGAAACAACTATACAGCAGTAAGGAGAGAGGCAGAAAGAAATTTTGAAAAAGGGATAGCAGATAAATGTAAAACAGAACCGAGCCTATTCTTCAAATTCATAAACAACAAATTGCAGGTAAAGGATAATATCCAGAGGTTGAAAATGGGAAACAGATTCACGGAAAATGAAAAGGAAATGTGTGAAACATTAAATGAAAAGTTCCAAAGTGTGTTTGTACAAAATGGAATCTTCAGAGAACCAGACACAATAAGAATTCCAGAGAACAACATAGAGCGGATGGAGGTGTCTAGAGATGAAGTGGAAAATATGCTAAAGGAGCTCGGGAAGAACAAAGCAGCTGGCCCAGATGGCGTTTCACCATGGGTTCTGAGAGAATGTGCATCTGAGCTCAGCATTCCACTTCACCTGATCTTTTAGGCATCCCTGTGTACAGGAATCGTAGCAGACGTGTGGAAACAGGCTAACATAGTTCCAATCAACAAAAGTGGCAGCAGGGAAGACCCCCCTCAATTATAGACCTGTATCATTGACAAGTGTAATAGTGAAAGTATTGGAAAAGCTAATCAAAACTAAATGGGTAGAACACCTGGAGAGAAATGATATAATATCAGACAGACAGTATGGTTTTCGATCTGGAAGATCCTGTGTATCGAATTTACTCAGTTTCTATGATCGAGCCACAGAGATATTACAGGAAAGAGATGGTTGGGTTGACTGCATCTATCTGGACCTAAAAAAGGCTTTCGACAGAGTTCCACATAAGAGGTTGTTCTGGAAACTGGAAAATATTGGAGGGGTGACAGGTAAGCTTCTATCATGGATGAAAAATTTTCTGACTGATAGAAAAATGAGGGCAGTAATCAGAGGCAATGTATTAGAATGGAGAAATGTCACAAGTGGAGTACCACAGGGTTCAGTTCTTGCACCAGTGATGTTTATTGTGTACATAAATGATCTACCAGTTGGTATACAGAATTATATGAACATGTTTGCTGATGATGCTAAGATAATAGGAAGGATAAGAAATTTAGATGATTGTCATGCCCTTCAAGAAGACCTGGACAAAATAAGTATATGGAGCACCACCTGGCAAATGGAATTTAATGTTAATAAATGTCATGTTATGGAATGTGGAATAGGAGAACATAGACCCCATACAACCTATATATTATGTGAGAAATCTTTAAAGAATTCTGATAAAGAAAGAGATCTAGGGGTGGTTCTAGATAGAAAACTATCACCTGAGGACCACATAAAGAATATTGTGCAAGGAGCCTATGCGATGCTTTCTAACTTCAGAATTGCATTTAAATACATGGATGGCGATATACTAAAGAAATTGTTCATGACTTTTGTTAGGCCAAAGCTAGAATATGCAGTTGTTGTGTGGTGCCCATATCTTAAGAAGCACATCAACAAACTGGAAAAGGTGCAAAGACATGCTACGAAGTGGCTCCCAGAACTGAAGGGCAAGAGCTACGAGGAGAGGTTGGAAGCATTAAACATGCCAAAACTAGAAGACAGAAGAAAAAGAGGTGATATGATCACTACATACAAAATAGTAACAGGAATTGATAAAATCGACAGGGAAGATTTCCCGAGACCTGGCACTTCAAGAACAAGAGGTCATAGATTTAAACTAGCTAAACACAGATGCCGAAGAAATATAAGAAAATTCACCTTCGCAAATAGAGTGGTAGACGGTTGGAACAAGTTAAGTGAGAAGGTGGTGGAGGCCAAGACCGTCAATAGTTTCAAAGCGTTATATGACAAAGAGTGCTGGGAAGACGGGACACCACGAGCGTAGCTCTCATCCTGTAACTACACTCAGGTAATTACACTTAGGTAATTACAAACTTGTAGATATCATTAGCATAAACAAACCTTTGGGCAGTAGTCACAGCAGATAAGATCCCCACCATCCCAACACACAGCACACCAATCGTCATTGGGATCATTGGGATCTTTTTTCCATGGTACTGATGTGCCTGGAGGTAAACCTAGAATAGAATGCAGTGTATTACACAAATGAGGAATGACTTGAGAACTATTTTTTGTAAACATCTGTCGATGAGAGCAGGAGGGAACTAAACTTACTAGCTCTGAGGAAAGCCATTTGTAGAATAGAGTAAAAATTCTCACCAATTTAATATGCTCATGTTTATAGCACCAAACTATCATGCAGATATATCTGAACTGTTCAAATAAAAGATCCCCATTGACCCCAGCATTGTATGAGTGAGATATTTTGCAATATTTATGGACATCATAATGGAAGAATTTTGGAGCCGCCCATATGTTCCCAGGAAATTTTTGGTCCTCCCTCTTGATCCTATTTTTTTTTTTTAATTTACTGGGTCCCAGCAAGAGCTAACCTACTTATTCATAGTGTAAGAAATATAACAATTTATTTGGCGAGATTTAAATGATGTACCACGTGACTGCCAGTCTGACACAAGCACCACTTGAGGTCATAACCCACTGAATAACCATGCTCTGTGTAGCACTTATGGACAGCAGCAGAAACAGTGTGTGAGAGCAAATGTTACTGAATTTGCAACTAGCACCGCTGTGAAATTTTTTTTTAATTTTATATTTTTGCGAGAAATTTTGTGACAGTATAAACAGTAACTCATGATTAATTTATAAAGAAAACAAATTACCTAGATGGATAAAGTTAATGATCATAATGACTAAAATTAATCATCTGAACAAAGTTTTGGGAAAATTTTAACAGTAAGCTTCACTCTTTTTCATATAGATTCATATGGGCCTGGTAAAGGCAATTTGAGAGAATACTGTCTACAGTTCAGTAACTGAAAGACTGAACAGTAGAGTTGTGTGATTACAGTAATCTCATATTGAATTAGGCCATTTAATTTTCTAAGTTCTAATATCACCAAAAACTTTCTTTACTTGGTTATCATACTCTATATCTTTCTTTTTATTATTTTGTGAAAACTACCATACTAATATTTTTGTTTTAACCACTACTCATATATAAACATAAATGTACAATGGCATAATTTGCCTGACAAAGAAGGAACATTCAAACTTCACAAGGCCTCATTTCTGCCGTAAGTAATTTTTATTGAATATAAAGATAGCTTATTTGTGAGCAAATGTATCTGTACACAGTTTACAGCTTCTTGTTATGTACCTAAAATCTGAGGTTAATTATAGTTAATTAATGTTAACAATAAATCCCATTTGAATACAGTACTAATAAAGGTAAGATGGTTAGTTGGAGCAGCTTGCAAGTGATAATGCTAATTTGAGGAGTTTGTGGTGCATCACTTGTATGGTGTTATATCTCGTACGACACAAAGAGGCAGCACAACCAATGAGTCCTGCTCACGAGAGTGGGGGAATGTAAGGGTAGGCACAAAAGGTTCTCTCTTTGTACAAACTAAGTAACCTAGCTAAGGCTAGGTTAAACATAACTGGCCGACCCCTCACAGTGTTCAAGAGAGAACTGGATAAGCACCTCCAAAGGATACCTGATCAACCAGGCTGTGACTCATACGTCAGGCTGCGAGCAGCCGCGTCCAACAGGCTGGTTGATCAGTCCGGCAACCAGGAGGCCTGGTCGAAGACCCGGCCGCGGGGACGCTAAGCCCCGGAAGCACCTCAAGGTAACTAACCTCAAGGTAGCCATCTTTTACCAGTATAATATTATCCAGTTATTGCCAAAATAAACACACACACATCAATTAAGCAAGATTCATTATAACTATAATTATGAATATACACAGTGAATAAATAAGGAATAGACTTACCAGAGCTCTTTCCATTTTTAGAATCTGATGGTACAGATGGTACTGAGTCAACTGAACCTGTGTCAATTGTAAGATCTGGTAAGCTGTCACTGTCATTATTGGAGTCATCTCTTCTCTTTTGACTCCTGTCATCACCTAGAATTACAGAAATGTTATTTTCAACATTAACATAAATGACTATCACTAACAAAGTGCAAAGCCCTAGCATAAATCTCAAGTATATTAAATATAGAGGTAGTGATAGCAATGCAGCAGCGAAGAAATTACTGACACCAAAAATGATTCTGCATGATAAATTAGACTGCTTGATCACCTTATGCAACCATCTGACATGGAAAATAAGATGGAAAATGAAAGCCTGATTGATTTATAATTCCAGTACTCTGGCAATCAGCATGAGGACACCTTGACTTTTACTGCACACACCACACAGTTCAATAATGACTTCAACACACAACTAGTAAACGAGCATAACATGAAGGTTACAATGAACTCACCCATTCATAGTAGGAAAACTTACCATTTTCTGTTAAATGCAATCGGTCATCTGTGGTTAATCCACTGGAGGGACTGTATGAACTATCAGCAAGTGTGGAGTTGGAATAAGGGTCTTCCACTTTTAGTCTGGGTCCATTAGTAGAATCCGAGGTTGTGGCAGAGGAGGCAGCAGCAGCAGTTAAGGCTGCTAAAGTAATGGAGACAGATGGTGCAGTACCCTTCAGCTTACTGTCGTCCCCCAAGGAATCCTGCATTTAGTAAAATTGTCACTCACACATTTGCAGTGAATTGTTAAAATTAATCCAATTCATGATTCACTTAGTGTTTTTAACCATGATTCATCATGTATTTAACTTGTTGAATATATATCTATAAAGGCTGGATTATGGTAGTACTTGTTTATCCGTGATGTTATATGTGCAGATGATATAATGAGTGACATATATTTTGTAATATTATAACTTACCGGTACTTTCACTATATAGACAGTCTCCAACTTACTAACAGAATGTGTTTTTAAGTTGGCTGTTTGTAACTCTAAATCAGATTTCACATAGGTGCACTATTATAAATGGGGAATGCACTCTGGTGCTATAAAAAATGAATGTAGAGTGCCAAAATTGTTTAGACAAATAGTAAGAAACAGTGCTTTTTATTTACCTTGAATGATGATATTAACTTAGATGTCTGATTTTATGCTTTTTGAAAAGTGAAAGAGTCAAATTACTAAACATGGTGGCAGTAAAAGGTGGTGATGCATGGAACTGGTAAAAACAACAACAACACTTCCTCACATACACAAATCATAACAACATGATATATCAAAATGAACAAATCCACAAGGGACTTTATGAGGGTTTGAACCTATGTGCTGGGTGTTCCCAGACGTGCTCTAGTCAACTGTACCACCACATGGTCAAAAGAATTGCAACCTGGGTTGCTACTGCCCTTACGAGGATCCCGAGACTTCCACTGAAGCCTAATCGGGGTTTCACACAATTTCCCTATGCACTCAGGCTATCAACCAAATAGTTCTACTTCAATAAACACAGAAATCACAATGATGTGATATATCAAATGAACAAATCCACAAGGGCCTTGATGAGGGTTCAAACTGAGCTGAAATATTGAGCTCAGTGTTCAATGTTGAACACTGAACATGTGCTGAGTGTTCACAGATGCGCTCTAGTCAACTGTACCACGACATGATCAAAAAAATTACACGAGGTCACTTCCTCATGTTATTAGCTTTTATGGTCTAACTTTTCCTTGATCAAAAACCCAACATTGAATGTTATGAAACACCTCTTACTGGAGGAGCCCCAGTGGTTTCCAGACCCTATCTTGTTGACATTGTTCCATACTAAAAGGTCACATTAGTTACAGAAGTTCTGTTTGGCATACGAGGGACCAGAGCCAGAACCTGGCACCCCTCACAGAGGCACAGGGAGTGGGTGACAATCTGCCACCCCCACTGGAAAAAGCCTCCAGAAAGTCAGTGCAGCTTACAAACAACTGGAGGTTTAACAGAAATTGAAGCTTTGAAACTGTCAAAGAACTCTGCAAATGATTCAAACAGAACAATGGATTCACTTAATACCAGCTTGAAACTCTACTGTACTGATTACAGCCACTAGACTGCCTGGCCCCCAGCTGCCAGACTCCAAATCTCAGTTCTGGAGTTGATGAACAACCCACTATGAACCAACAAATCTGGAGGAAGGAAGAGGAATCAGGAAACCTCCAGAAACCTGGGCTCCTCCAGAAAGAGGCATTTCATTATATTCACAATGCTGGGTTCCCGGAGGGAGCCTCCTGGTGGCTTCCTACAGAGAACAAAAATGAGACTTACAAGGAAGAAAAGGTGGCAGACACTAGGTTGAGGAAGAGAACCCAGTCCAGGAGATACAGTCCAAAGCCTCAGACAACCGACTGGAACCAGGAACATTGACTGAATACCAGGCCATCACAACCTTGTGAAAATGCCAAAATTCCTGAACCTGAATATCAGTCCAGGGCATATTAGAGAAGGCCACCAAAGTTGCATATTTGCAATCATCACAAGCCTGAGGGTACACCGCAGACTGGATAAATTTAACGACACTGTAGACGACTTGAGAAATATGAACCTTGGAACAGGGAATCAAGGAAACGGGGTCAACCAACAAGGAATCCACTAAGACAGAACCTGTGGCACGCAGGTAACAACAAATGATGTACACGTGGCAAATCAACCAACCATAAAAAATCCAAAGGACATCCCTGGACGTTTGCTAACTCATTCTTTACTATAAAAGGGTGCAAAGGAATAAACTGGCCACCCTCCTCAGAAGAAGAGCCTGACGCTCTCCAACCCTACAGAGGCAAGCACCAGGGCAAAGACAGTGCTATGAAAAATATCACAAGCCAAAGGGGAGACCATAAACCGAGGTGAGGAGAGAAAACTTCAAACTTGGTCAAGAGACCAAGTATAGCTCAGTATAGCTCAGAAGGAGCATATGTAGGCCAGAGGTGAAAAAACACACGAGACAACTTGCAAATTGCACCATGGAGGTGTCGACACTGAACGCAAGCAACAGCAGCACTGCCAACACAAAACAATAAGAGGCAACAATATTTGGTATGAGATGCTCCCTTTAGAAACAACTACCAACAAAAAAGACAGGACAAACCTGACTGAGACTGAAGAAAAATAACAAAAAGATGAGTAATAGCGAAACGAACACAGGCAACCTCATACTGCCACTGTAAGGAGAGATGCAGGTGGGACACTAACAAGCCAGCCACCCACTTGCTATACAATTGGCATTCAACATACTTCAAAAACTCCAAATGTGTAGAGTAAAAGAGATGTTTGAACAGGTGAACTGCTGGAAGAGGTGGCATCGTGGAAAAATGCTTGGGTTCGGACACTGGGCCAGCAGCGCCGGAAATCAAGACTGGGCTGGACACAAAGGAGCCAGAAGGATCACCTTCCCCAAATACGAATCCAAACTAAAGAGCACCCACAGCAACAACTGAACTGGGGAAAAAATTTTGCTTATTTTTAAATTACCAAGAGCCCATTGATCATGGCTAAAAATGTAATGTAAATATGTGTACAGATTTTCAACTTTACACCATGTGGCTACTTCTGAGGAAGTAGAAAATACAATGTGGTATAATCAGTCACAACTGCTTTACTGTCTGTTCTGGAACTTGCCATGATAGGGCCCAAGTGGCCAATAACATGTTCATGGTTACAAGACAGGCAAGCCACACTAGCATCTCTCCGGGCTGAACAGTGCAGTATCATATCTACAGTTATTATAAGCTGGTAATTACCCAAGCGTAGTTACAGGATGAGAGCTACGCTCGTGGTGTTCCGTCTTCCCAGGTCATATAATGCTTTGAAATTACTGATGGTTTTGGCCTCCACATCCTCACCTAACTTGTTCCAACCGTCAACCATTCTGTTTACAAAAGTGAATTTTTTTATATTTCTCCAGCAGCTTTGTTTCGTTAGTTTAAATCTATGACCTCTTGTTCTTGAAGTTCCAGGTCTCAGGAATTCTTCCCTATCAATTTTATAGATTCCTGTTACTATTTTGTACGTAGAGATCATATCGCCTCTTTTTTTTTCTTCTAGTAGTTTTTGCATATTTAATGCCTCTAACCTATCCTCGTAGCTCTTGTCCTTCAGTTCCGGGAGCCATTTAGTGGCATGTCTCTGCACCTTTTCCAGTTTGTTAATACACTTCTTAAGATATGGGCACCATACAACTGCTGCATATTGCAGCTTTGGTCTAACAAAACTCGTGAACAATTTCTTTAGTATTTCTCTATCCATGTATTTAAAAGCAATTCTAAAGTTAGAATGTGTAGCATAGGCTCCTTGCACAATGTTCTTAATATGGTCCTCAGGTGATAGTTTTATAGTGATTATATATAAATTTATTTATATAAATTTATATAGATAGTTTTATGGTGATTATATTGGGATGCCAATTGTACATGACACAGTAGACTGCCAAATGTCATTCTTTGAACATACTGTCATATGAATTCTATTGTAAATCCCCTTTTGTGTATGCTGTACAGTACTGTATATATATCAATCTATGTCAAGCTAAATGTATGTATTTCTACCTTTTACATTTCCCTCATGGCAATGGCTTTTATTTATGAAGGAATATTTATGTTTAAGAAATAAAGGCTATGCCTATTTTCTCTTTGCAGTTATGCTTGCTAACTACATAAACATTATCCGAGCCGGTGGTTGAGCGGACAGAACACTGGACGAGTGATCCTGTGGTCCCGGGTTCGATCCCGGGCGCCGGCAAGAAACAATGGGCAGTTTATTTCATCCTGATGCCCCTGTTACCTAGCAGTAAACAGGTACCTGGGAGTTAGTCAGCTGTCACAGGCGGCTTCCTGGGAGTGGAGGCCTGGTCGAGGACCGGGCCGTGGGGACACTAAGCCCCGAAATCATCTCAAGATAACTATCGCACTATTCAGTGGACCCGTGGTATTATATTAGCCTCCATGCTGTTGAAGGAAACATCTAAAACAAGCCGATATTACAATACTGTACTATACCTTCTGTAGCTCTGCACATGCTGTATCTCTATGCTGTACATACTCAGTTCTGAGTAAAACACTGATGAGTTGGTATGTAAATTGCTCCGAATGGCAATTCAACGGCAGGTCCTATCTTTTGGCCCATTTCTACAATGTCTTCATTCTACTGCTGTCATATGTTCTAGCATAGAGATGACTAGCTGATATGAAACGACACTTGCTTCCAGTGGGCAGACATTGTCACAGAAAGCTTTATTTATTTGAAAAATAAATCAAGCTAAGTATTATCTGAATCCCCACCTTTAGTGGATTTTCTGGTTAAATTGAAAGATAAATTTCTGGCTCTTCATCCTCACATACAGGAGAATGACCATTTAATGAGGGTCCACCTCCATTAACCGACTCTGTGCTGCTCATTAACCCCTTAACTGCTCGGCTTCCAAATATGACACTCCCCAGTGCGCAGGAAATAAATTATCTGGAAAAAATTCTTTTGTTTTTTAAAGTGTCAAAAACCCTTCGAATGTATGGGTATGTCAAAAAAAAATTGAAATTGTACTTACTTTGGCTGCTATGGGGTCCGTAAGCTGGCACGTGACGTCATCATTCCCCGTTCACCTGTGACGTATGCTCCCGGGGCCAGTAGGGCGCCCGGGGTGGGTCACGTGAGTTGCCGCAAATATATTTT